AAGGGCTTTTCCGCCGGGACGATGCTGGGGAGCGGGTGCTGCTGCTGCTCGGAGGGATGCTGGGCGAAGTAGGAGATGCCAGTGTTGCTTGACAAATCAGAAGCATCTAACAACGTCTGCAGATACCCTCCAGGGATCAGGGGTACATTGGTGGTGATATTAGCAGATGGCAGAGGCTTGTCTGAAGAGGAGGTGGATGGTAGGAAAGGAGAATTTTTAGCAACCTTCTCCTCGTGGCACTCCGGGAGATGGGAGCTGTCTGAAGCACAAGGAACGTTTTCATCCTTCAGCCGTGCTGCGGGGTCCTGGTTTTCCAGCACCGGGGAGCCCTCCGCCGCACCGGTGGCAGCTTTGATCTTCTTACACTTCAACCTGGCTTCGCTTTTGAATTTGATTCTGCGGAGCACTTTCCTCTCCGTCCCCTTGTGCTCCCGCTCCTGCGATTTGCATTTCACGGCGGCGATGCCCGCGATGTCGTTGACGTGTAATCCGTTGGCACAGCCGGGGGTGGCGATGGCTAACGCCGGCAGCCCTTTCAGGCCCACATCCTCTTTACTGCCGCAAGGCTGCTTGTGATCAGAGGAGCAGGAGCCCAGCTTGTTCACTGATTGCTCGATGGCTTTAATTCTTTGAATCCGGTGCCTGTTTGCTAGCTTGCATTTTCGCTTCCGTGGGTGAGGGAGGAACGAAGCATCTGAGCCGTTAAGATAGAAATTCTGCTTGTGGTAGAGAGACGATCTGAGCAAATCCAGCCGGCTCTGCTGCCTCTCCTGCCAGAAGCCCTTCAGCGGGGCCAGCTTCTCGTATTTGCTGAGCAGCTCCTCGTTTAGGGTAACAGTTGTCTCGTTGGCATCCACTTTGCTGAGCTTCACCAGCATATGCTTCTCCCCCTTAAACCTGTTAATGATGATGTACTTGATGATAACGGGGGGCTCCTTGCGAGAGACTTTTCGCCGTTTCTTGGGGCACCACTCGTCATCGTCCTCTTCCTTGGGCCCATCCGGGAGCCACTCCTTCTTGTCCAGGATCTTCTCGTTCTCGATGGAGTCCACGTCGTACAGGTAGTCGTCGCTGTATCGCACTTTCCTCTTCGCCCGCAACCCGTAGTTCTGCTGAATGAAGGAGCCAGAGTGGTCGCGGGACAGGTACCGGCTGCAGTCCTTGATATCCCGCAGCACGTCGTAGGAGGACTCTGTGCAAGTGCTGTCGTCGCTGAACTCCCCGGAGTCCTCCGTGGAATTCACCGAGTCCAAGAAGTGGCTCCTCTTGGAGCCCACGTACTGCACCATCTCCGTGCTGTTGCAAGATTTATTTAAGGCAGCTTTCTCCTCCTCCTCGCCGTCCTCTTCCTCGCCATCCTCCTCCTCCTCCCCCCAGATGATGCCTTCCTCAGATTTGAATTGAGAAGGGTCGGTGGCACCGCCGGGCCCCCTTTTCAGGGTGCTCCTGCTGTCCCTTTTGGTGCAGCTGCCGAACACGCTGGGGAAGAAGTTGAACTGGGCGTCCTCTTGTAAGGTGCTGGTCTTCTCCCGCACATTGTCCTGGAAAGATTCGTATCTAATCTTTAGGGAGCAGACATCGCTCCCCAAGGTGGAATCGTCGTCATCAAACATGTAGTTATCCACGTCTTCCTCGGAAAACAGATTTACAGAAAGCTCATTTTTGGAGCAGAGGTCAAGCAGCTCAATTTTACTTTCACTAATGAAAGATTCAAAATAGCCCCATTCCTGGTTGGGATTTGTTAGTAAAGGTTCCTCACCATTGCACTTGTCTAATAGTAATCCCTCGTAATAATTTTTCTGAGTGGGGTCCTCCGAATCGCTGTCAGATTTTTCTGCATCCCTTTTGTCCGCTGCCCTCGATTTATGCATAGGGAAGCTTAAAAGCTGGTCTGAAAGCAGCTGATCCCCATATCTCATGGTTTCTCCTGTGCTCATGCAGTGAATCCCTATATCAGAGACCGAACAGGTGTCATAATCCCTATTTATATCCCCCACTTTCAAGCTTATTCCCGGCTCGGCATCAATGCCATCCTTGGATTCAATAAAGCAGCCCAGACAGGTCCGGCTCGGCTGCATCAAGCAGTCACCCGTCAGCGCCGACATGCCTCCGGGCTCCATCATGGTGAAGGGAGCCTTCTCGCAGTCACCCGGCAGCGACCAGGAGCTCATGCCCTTGGTCACGCAGGACGTGAGGGAGATGGCGTGGGCGGAGGAGTCATCCGAGGCGTGCTCGGGGACATCCGTCAGCCTCAGCGGTGACGGCGGGCTCAGCAAGCAGGGCTTCTTCGACGTCAGGGCAGGCGGCAGCGCCCGGTGGCACACGTGGCTTTCCTTCGGAGCGGTCGTCAAGGCCGAGAACGTGACCGCGGCCTCGGCAGTGGTGCAAGGCCTCTCGTCGCCGTCCAGGGCGTGCACTTCTGGGGGGGGGGGGGATGCGCAGGGAAGGGAGAGGTAAACACTATCCCCCTGCTGCAGCCAGCTGGGAGAGGCACAAGAGCCCGTTTGGAAAACCAAGCCCACCCGGTCGTTCCTCCTCACGTCCACAGCGTTACCTGGATACTGCCTCTCGGGTCTGACAGGACTGTTCAAAAACACAAGCCGAATAAAAATGTTCCCGTGAACGTGGAGAAAATTAATGGGAAAATAAGATTCTTAAAGAAACCAAGCACTCCCCCCGCGGTGCCTGCGGCTCAGACCCACCCGGACTGCAGCGCGGCTCGAGAGGTAGAAAGTTACGGCCGTTTCTCACAACCCAGAAGTCTTTTTGTCGCTCTCCACGCCAAGGGAAAGTAGACGGTAACACAGAGTTTAAAGCAATTATTGTTAGAATTATTGTGGGTTTTGCTATTCTTCCCTAATCTCTAAAAATGCCTTTTTAATAATGTAAGGATTTTTTTTTCCTTTAACCTAAGGATTTTTTATTTTTTACCTCGTCGCACTCTTTTACAGCAGAATAAAGTTGTGACTTTACTTTTATCTCACTTCTGGCTCAACGGATGATATGACCCTTCAAATTTAAATACGATGTCTTTTCATCCATGAACACGCTCTGATATCTCTCTATTAAGAAAATATAAATATATACCAATGCACGCATGGGCACCAGCCAGAAACTTCTGCCGGCGCAGAGCTGAGCCCGGTGCTGTCACGGCAGCTCACCTGTTTGGCGGCTCCACTGGAGGCTGGAGGGGGGAGCGGCAGCAGCGCAGAAAAAAAAGGTGGAAGAGCTGCTTCGAACCGCAGCCGGAGCACCAGGCTGTTGCGAGAAATGGGGCATCTGAAGGGATTGGGCACCTTCATGGCTGCCGGGACCATCCGTGACAAGAGCTTTGGCTGAGAACTGACGGAAAAGCGAGCCTCCTCCCGCGTACGCCAGCCGGTGCCGGCTGGAAAGGGCAGGCTCACGCCAGCACACGTACCGCCGGCATGGTGAAATGCCAGCACGGAGAAACACCGGCACGCGTACTGCCGGTATGGTGAAACACTGGCACACGTACCGCCAACATGGTGAAACACCGGCACACGTACCACCGGCACGGTGAAACGCCGGCACGGAGAAACACCGGCACACGTACCGCTGGCACGGTGAAATGCCGGCATGGAGAAACACCAGCACATGTACCGCTGGCATGGAGGAACACCGGCACGCGTACCACCGGCACGGTGAAACGCCGGCACGGACAAACACCATCTGTGCCGGCACTGCCGAGCAGAGCAAGGAGCAGGGCTCCCACCCGGAGGTGGGCGATGCGAAAGGAAGCGGGACGGGCTGGGGTCTGCCTGCCCGTGCCAAGCGTAAAACTGAGAGGAGGTCAAAATCCCCTGAATCTCATCCCAAAAGCTCCCAGCGCTTCTGTGCTGCTGGGGGCCTTGGGGACAGAGCCACCGGTAAAGCCTTAAGCCATGCCACGCTCGAAGGGCTTCACACAGCTTCCGGAACGCTGCAGAAATCAACCCAGATGTGCAGCGCAATGCCTGGAAACACCGTCCACACGTGTGGCTTGAGAAAGACCAGACTGACTTTCTTGAATTCTGTGCTGCTTCCCTTCCCTCTAAAGAGTCAGAGGCAAATAAAAATAAAAAAGCTGATTTTTCAGTCCTCCCACCAGTTTTTCGATCAGAAATGCAGATGCGGTATCTTTTTCCTTAAGCACCAAAACAAGTTAACCAGTGCAGTTCCACTCCAGAGGTAAAATAAAATAAAAATCAGCTTGCAGTTGACAGGAAGCATGGAAAATGTGAGGATAAAAGAAGAATGTCTGTGAACGCTGTAAGACTCGGAAAAGGGGGAGGTAGAAAGCCGAAATTCAATCTCAGATGCCGCATTCAATACGCAGAGATGCTATCATCTAAAATAAACTGTCTCTGGGTGTTTCTTTAAGTTTCTACTTGTGGAAGGGAACTTAACTCCTGTGAAATACAAATGCCAAAACTTGATTTTCTAAGGCTTGTATCATCCTAAACTCAGGCACCCATTCAGTTGATGCTCTAAAGTAAACCACACTCCAAAAGACTACAGCTGAAAACAAAAAAAGAAAACGCTGGAGAAGTAAAAAGCCACCTTTCCTGGTTAACTCTGCAGCCATCCGAAAGCACGCGGGCAGCCTGAGCGGAAAAGCACCGCACCGTCGCGCCGTGAGTCGGCCGCGAAGGGAGACCGGTCCCTAACTGGGCACCTGGATTCACCGCAGCCAGCGCCCCTCTGTGGCTCGGTGAGAGGAGGCAGCACCACCAGCCCCATCCCCAGTGCCATCAGCGGGGAGGTGGTGGCGTCGGAGCTACTTCCCGGCTCCGGCTTCGGATTGAGCAGCGACTCCTACACAACAATGTTGAATTAAAGCGCTTTTGAAGCCCTCTTTAACTGAATTTCATGGAAGCGGTATCAGATTCTAGAAACCACCCATCTCTACTGAGCGGGTAAGCACTGATTTTACTGCTGATCAGATCAGACAAGGGGACCACGGCTAGAAAAATCTCCTTGCAGCTCCGGCAGCGGCCATCAGCTGCGGATTTACCATGTGTTGTCACAAGGGAGATGGGCTGACAAGGGCAGAAATCTTCAGAATTACGTGGCCGGGGCGAGCGCAAGCGCACGCTTCGCCTGCCGCCGGCACATGTTGTGGGGTCCTCACGGGCACCCGCGCGTCTGGAGTCGCTCCAGGTCTCCGGTGATGAACAAGAACAACACTTGACTCTACGCACTCTTGCTGGAGCAAAGCTCGTTTTTAGGAGACAGAAGGATTCCAACATGGAAGACATCAGAGCACCAAGTCCTTGATATCTGACAGTGTCAAATTTATATAAATACATATATCAAGATTTATAGGACAATATAAAACGTAAAAAGCCACGAACAGAACATGAAAACATGGTGGAGAACAAAAATGTCAAGCTCCACCTCAACACTGCTTTTACTTGGCTAGCGACTAAAGGCTGAACGGCTTGAGAAAAAACTTAAGAGAAATATTTATTTCAATCAGGTTTTCAGGCAGCAAAGCGCTGTTACTCCTAATTAGAATCAAAGAACCACAGAATGGTTTGGGTTGGAAGGGACCTTAAAGATCATCTGGTTCCAACCCCCCTGCCATGAGCAGGGACATCTTCCACCAGACCAGGTTGCTCAGAGCTCCATCCAACCTGGCCTTCAAAGTTATCACTTTTGAAAGCAAGTATGGAATTGATGAAAAAGATGCAGACACAGCTCGGTATTTGGGGCGGGCTGCTGGAAGGGGCTGATCCTTCCCCAGAGACGCCGACGGGAGCGTGACTGCAGCCAGCAGCGTGTGCACGGGCCAGGGGATCCCACGTGCTGGTGGACGGGCCATGCAGAAAAGGCAATAAAAAACGAACTCACGAGTCCGACCTTCGCTTTCCGTGGGTGCTAATCCGGGCTTGCTTCTTCTACTCTAATTTTTCCCCAGTTTGTAGGGACTAAGTATCCTTCAGTCAAATCTTGCCAAGAGTGGCCAGTGGGTTCATAAGTAATTGCGAAGAGAAGGGAAGATTCCCAACAGACGGAGAGGCTGCATAGTCTTGTATGGCTTTTTTCCCTAAGAAACCAAACTAAAATCCATAATTCAAACTGCATGTGCACATAAACATTTCCAACCATGCATATGCATGGGCAAAAGCAGTACTCGTTAAGACCTAAAGAGGTGCAGATTCATAGCTGGAGTGACATTTGTGCAGAAAAATATACATTTACCCCGCTGCTCCATTGCAGAGATACCTGCAGACCACTAAAATTAAATACACGGAAGGAATTAGGAAAATAAGTTGGCTTGCAAGTTGTCGCCGCTCCCTCATGTACTGTAATTAAGTTCCTTACCATTTTCTTTCACCCCATTAATCAGGATAGTTTCTTGGTCTTCTGAGGCACAATCCTGCTCTTGTTGGTCATCCATCAATTTAACCTCTTTCTGTTCACTCCATGCCCCACTGCATCTGGCCAACCTGCACATTTCCAGAAACATAACCACAGTCAGTACAATTCCCAGGCTCAGCTCACGGAACCGTGAATAAGAAATAACAACAATAAAAAGCCCCCACACACCCTCACATGCTGCCCTTCTCCTGCTGAAAAAAAATACTATTTATTTTGGCTATCGTATTTTCACTTTTCCACTCCAAAAGCCAAGTCCAATGTATTTCAGCAAGGTTACAATGCTATATATCACCATTTCCTTCCCCAAAGTCCTCCTTTAGAAGGTGGAGCGGTGCTCAGCACCTCTGCAGCACCCTTCGCGTCGCACGGAAACGATC